TATATACAACACCAGAAGTAACAGTTAACATGGTTTTTTGTTGAAGAATAACTTCTTAAAAAACAAAGGTAAACAAGTAAAAAGAGAGTCACAATGTTAAAAACGATCAAGTGTCAGCCTTCTGTTGTAGGTTCTGACACTTTACATTAAAAACATGAAGAATTCTTCTCACCATACTGTCCTTATCCATTCTTTAACTGCTTCAGGCCCTTTGGTGGTAATTTCGAGTTATCCTACTTATTTGCATATTAATACAATTTCTGTAATAACTCAGGATATAATTCTTCATATCAAAAATATAAAATTTAATGCAAAGTGTCAGAACCTACAACAGAAGGCTGACACTTGATCGTTTTTAACATTGTGACTCTCTTTTTACTTGTTTACCTTTGTCTTTTAAGAAGTTATTCTTCAACAAAAAACCATGTTAACTGTTATTTCTGGTGTTGTATATAAAAGGATTAAGATAGACTCGAAAATTTTATATTTTTGTAAATAGTCAGACTTCAAATATATTATGCCTTTCCCAATATTGAGAAAAGCATAGTATGTTCATATATTGTATGCACTGGATAAATGAATATGATAAAAAAGCACCTCTAACAATCCAGCAAATAAAATTTGGAAACGTTTTTATTTTAGTAATCATTTTTAAGCAATCTTCCTCAGTTATGTTCTATTTTCATGTTTTATTTTATGGTAAATTTAAATATAAATGAAAACAAGAATTCAGTTATTTATTTTAGCAATGTAGTTGCAGACAATAAAATTATTTTAATTGTTTAAGAGAGATTTATTTGTTATCTTCATAAAAAGATACATTGGCTACCGCATGGCAGTGTGTCTGTCTATGGTTGATGCAGCCAGTTCTCCTGTGCACTTTAAAAATCTCTAATCTTGAAAGATTAGAGATTTTTTTCATTGTGTGTATATTTGTTGTTGGTTTGATAATTCATGTCCAATGGGAGCAAGCATCAATGTCCTGTTGTCATGCGTAAGCTGATAGTGTGGTGTTATCGAGCTTCTTATCAATTGTATATTTATGCTCCTTGAGTTGTCATTGCAAGTTGCACATCATGGCACCCACATAGACTAAACAATCAATGTTTTGGATCTGATCTAATGGGATGGAGTAGATTCTCATGGCTGAATTACAGTCATATTGTTTTTTGTCATTCCTTAAAATTCTGAAAACCATAGTGTTGCATCAATATATCACTTGGACATTATTAGCCTTGGCTACCTTCTTATATCCCATTTTTAAGAGGAATACATAACTTAAACTACCCTTTGTTTTCAGTTCAATGAGGTATGCTGATGTTTTGTTGCTTGAAAGGTTGTGATTAATTTCTTATCATTTCCATTGGGTATCCCTGTTGTTCTGCAATCCTTAACTAACAAACTTTGGTGGTATTATATTGCACATGCAATTATTGTGATTTGAATTTGTACCTTCAATATTAGTCTTAAAAACTACCCAGTACTGTGGTGTAAATATGGCAAAATTATCTTTACAAGCATAACTTATTCAAACCAGCCTGACAAGGATTTGTGTCTCAGTAAGTAATCAAAAAAATCTGTGAGAATTCTAATTACGCCCACCAGTGCTGTTTTCTATCCTGGTTTGATATTAAGCCAAAAAGAGCTCCATTACTTGCTGGATGGTTGAGGATTTCAAGGCACTCATAGCATGCAATCTAATTATATAACCACTGATAACTGCCAGAGAATCATTTTCAATTGTGCAGAGAACACTGCAGTCTTATGTGAGGGACTGCAATTTTTGAGAAATAAGCAGTCTGTAAATTGCATGATTCTTCACTATCTTCAGCATTACAATTGGTATCGGTTAGCTTCAATAACAGGTAACAACTTTGAGGAGGAAGAAGAGAATGATGCATTTCCATTCTGTGCAGCCTATATATAAGATGCCAACTTTCAAAATAATTTGTGTTGTAAGAGATGCTGATCGTGCATCTAATTTGTCATTTCCTCCATTAAACTGATGAGTGCAGCTACAGAATGACTCAGTTGGATCACTGTTAACTCTCCTTGTCAAAAGATATCTGAATTTGATGGTATTCAGCAAGTACTTTACATCATCAACTGTGCTGAATGTTGTCGGGTAAACAGCTTTGTAAGTTTCTTTTGTGAGAAACTGCATTCTTTTTTTCATTCTTACATGGAATCAAAGAAAATTGACTGCAGCCAATTGAGTCGTCCATCATTAATTTCAGAAAATGGTCTTTTGTTTGGCAGTATAGAGAACAGATATTCATTTCTGTTACTTATCCACAAGTGGTTTGAACTACAGGATATATTTTCCACGAGTGTAACTGTTGCACCACAGCCAGAAAAAAGAGAGACATCTTTATGACAAAATGAATTGTCCCAGTAACAATGGGTAAGAAAGAATATGTCTTTTGCTCTCTTTACTTTCATTTTTTCAAGATTAGTTGGAAATACAAGTGCATGTGTTAGGAATCTCACTGGTTTAATTAGAATATTTTTCTGTATATCCAAAAGAATCTTTAGATAATAACCTCCATCAATACATTCATTTCCATCTGTCAACTTTCTTTCTAATAATATGGATTGCAAATTCTGAATTATGTGATTTGGATCAAATGTCAGAAAGAGGGATCTAATAGTGTTACACAGATGAGATAATTTATGTAGAAGATCTCCATTTCCAAGAGATTTGACTATGGTTGTATTTGTCTAATAGTTATGAGCAACAATATGTATCACTAAAATACCCAAGTTTTCCACCTCTACGAGAATATCAAGCATCATTCGTAGCAGTTCAGCACCTTTTAAACAGTATGTGAAAAATATCCAACACATATTGCATAAGAAGATGAAAGTCCGGAGGAGATAGCACAACATGCAATTGGCTACTTTTTGAGGTTCACAAACCTCTCCGTGTTCACCTGTTTCGACAAAACCAAATATTCTGTCTAACTGGTTGTCATAAACTAGCTTCCGATCAATAGTCATTTCATCCATAATGAAGCATAGCTTTCTTCTGCAGATGTAAAATTTTCTTTTTCATTACGTAACCTTTGCTTTATTAAGGGTGTGATACCAATTGCACCCAAAGTTTGGCCTACATACTTGGCAAGAGTTAATTTACAAGGCAAATGAAGCAGCTTTCTAACACGAGCATGATCATAACCTTTTGATGATTTAACTTTCCATAAAATACATTCACGGATTACATCATTACTCCATTTGTAGCATCGTTTATCAAAGTTGAGAATCTGGTCAACAAGAAATACTGCTGCAGTGTTCCCAGTTTCAGCTAATGCTGCTATTTTTCCTATTACTTCAATCAGATTAAAGGCCTACAAAGAAGATAGAATGCAAAATTGGCAGATTCACAGGTGCAGCAAGATAAAAATGTTCTTTCTCCAAAGTTTAGCTTTTAGTTTAACAGTTTTCTTTTATTCTGTACAGTTAGTTCCAGGTCATTATTAGTTTGATATGCAGCATTTACCATATTTCTCTTCCTTCCTCAAAATCAGTATGGTTATAAATGGGCCCATCAATAACTTCAGTGTCTACAGTTGTACTTTCATGCTGAGGATTCTGTTGGTCAACAAGCTTATTCCTTTTCTGTGGATTTGCACGTACTTCTAAATTCCGTCGTAATGGTGTTCTCTTTGTTTTCTCTGCCCAAGGACACTTATGTGGGGGATAGTTTGGACACTGCAGGGGCATGATGTTGAACGTAAAATGTGCCTTTTAAATCCAATTTCATAATCACTTTCCACAATATGCAGGATACACACAACTGACCTGCTACTTGGTATCCACGGCAATCGTTTTTTATTTCCTTGTCTCGATATAACATTTAACGTTTAAATTCTTATTTATTAAGATGTGTCAAATTTTATTTTGTATTTTTTTTAAAAAGTAAACAATTTTAAAAAATTAAATCAGAATCGTCGTCATTATTACTTTCTTACTAAAGGCCTGTACTGTATAACAAAGGAAAAGAATGACATTGGTCGAAAAATTACTTCCCCAGATTTTTGGCATTTTTTGCCTCTAAACATGGAGAAATGCAAAAACATTATAGGTTTTTTCTGTATTCACAAATTTTAAGTGTGTATGGAGAGGCACAATTTAGTTCAACCACTTTGAAGCTTACAAACTCCAGTGTTAAACCAGGCAACTCTCAAAAACCATAAAGTTACTAACCTTCAGACAGGGTTAACAAAATTGTGCCCCTAACACAGTTTAACATCCATACATACAGAAAGAAACCCAGAATCTTTTGCATATTTTGACTTTACAAGGTGTCCAGAGTCCAAAAATGTAAAAATTTGGAGGGGGTCATTTTTTTGACCAATCAATACACTTTCCCTCTGTTATATACAACAACCGGGAAAGTAAAAATTATCAAATACATATTTATATATTGACAAACTTTTTTATTCCAGAGTAATGACTATGTTCTAAGCTAAAAGACGCCTCTATTTATTGAAGCCTTTATTCTGAGGTCGTGTGACGAAACAGAATTCCTGGACCTATTTTGTTAACAAGTGCACCCCAGATTGGAGTCGGCAGATTTTTACATGACTCCGCAGCCCTGCTATTTACTGAATTAGTAAAGTTATCAATAGCGAAACATACTAGAAAAGCTTTTCAAAATAGTTTTTTTTATGTAAGTTCATTTTCTAGTGTGATAGCAATAAAGTACTCCTACAGTTTAGAGGGCATTAACTATTTATATTATCTAATACATATAACTGTTCTAAAATTGAAACAAAATTTTTGTAATAAATCAGGTATAAGAACCTTTCAGTGAAAGAAAAGCTTTGTTATTGAAAGTTATTCTTGTAAAAGGGTCAAGTAAGAAAAACAAATGAAAGAATTTTTTTTTAGTGTTTGGAATTGGTTGGAAAATTGTTAAATATCCAATTTTTGAAGCAGTTTACTAAGGGATAAAGAAGAGTTCTATGAGGAAGTTCTAAAACGTTTTTCTTTTTCAGGATACATTATACACGAAGCCGCATCCTGGAGTGACATCCACCGTCAGTGGTTTTTCCTTCCGCGAAGAGCCAGCCATTCGTCTTACAATGAAAAAGACGACGAGAGAAGGGGGACCAATCTATTGCTGAGAGCCAGCGAGAATTTCTCTTTCATAAACGTGAACGTAGTGGGAAAACTCAACCCTCTTCGTGGTTTTTCTTCTTTTAAATTTGTCCCGGAGACTTCGGACACGTGGATCGTGGCACTGAAGTCGGAGGAGGTGGACGGTAAGATTGCATCTTACATCACCGTTTTCACAGTCACGGGCAAAGTATTGCTGCCCGAAGAAGAAATTGGAAAAGTCAAATACGAGGGGATAGAGTTTATCTGAGGCTTAGACTGGAAATGTAGGGGCCTTCATTCCAAGTGGAAGGAATTGAAGGAAATGTGGTCTAGTTCAAAACTAGTGGAAGGCCCATTCTTTACCCGCAAATCCCCAAATGCCATTTATGACGGTAACTGCAGTGCAGTATCTCTTGACCTCAAAGCAACTGTTGGTCATTTCTATTTATAAATATCATCTCTCTGGATTTGTGAATTATTTTGTCTTTCTTTCAATAAAAGCCTCAGTTATGATAATGAACAAAAATGAAATTTTACTTTAATGTTCTTTAATTAGTAATTCAGTGTTGCAAAACAATGGTTTTTCCTTAGCTTAACATCATGGGCACCCCAATGAAACTTTAACCTGCAATCATGTGTAATAGTGGTAATTTGTCACACCTACTAGGTTTTCATACACATTCTTCACCAAATTCATTTACTTAAATGGACAGCATGAGGACATCATGGAAGAATAGCTAACTCAGTGATTCCCAAACTTTTTTCAGCTAAACTTTATACCTAATTCCCCCCAACCCATTTTCCCTTGTTCAAGGAAGGGCTTGGAAATAGTCTTAGAAAAACTTTTTTTTTACAAACTTTACACTTTGTGTCCACATCTAAATACCATTAAACACAATCTTACTTAAGTTTTCCCTTTCCTCTGTTATAATAGGTGTTAGTGACCCCAGTCCTTGCCTATGGTCACCATTCCATCTGTATCCTGTCTCCAGTGTTCTCTGCCACCCACTTGTTTTCTTTTCACCTCCCTAGATTTACTCATTGCTGGTAGGGGGCAACAGCATCCACTTTTTTTTACCGTAGAAATTTCACCTTATATGTGTAATCACATATAATTTTTCTTTATTGTCATATGATCACATGCATAATGTGACAATTTTCTGCTCCGATGTCATCAAAAATGGCATCGTGAATGTTTGTCAGCTAAGCACAACGTAATTAAATGATTGGTCACTATGACCTTCAACAGTTTAATGCTTTTGGTTTTTTTGGGCACAGAAAAAAACATTTCCCGGTCCTTCTGAGAAACAACTCGGCCCTTCTATCATTCATTTTTAGCTGAACTTAGTTCACATTAGCCCACACTATCTTAGTTTTGAAGGATCTCTTATGGGAACCCAGTCAAGGAGATTATTTTGTTAATAGCTCAAAATAAAAAAAAAATGTATGATGATAAAATTTGGTACAAGCATAAAAGATATATTACAGTATTTTTCAGAATTGTCAAAATCAAGAAACTGCAATTACATACAATGTAATTATGCATTGTAAATCACTGGAAAATTACCACTTGTGCAGGTTTGCTTTTTACAAGAACATGTGCACGTGATTGTGGGTTAAGCAGAGAAATTTACAGTTGTTGCCAAGGTCAAAGACAAAGGACCATAAAAGCATCCAATCAATGTCATCTAAAATTATGAAAGGATATATCTTAGTCGGTTGTTATTAGTGGCAATAGGATATTGAATAGCTTATTGTACTGTACAAGTGGAGACTAGCAAGCAATGTTCCCTCTAATTTTTTTTCTCGATGAGCGGAACATATACTTCTCTGAGCAAAAAAAATTTTGCTGAGCATATATATATATAAAATCTTATTTTTTTCTATAAAAATTAAAATAATTAATTATAAAGTAGAGATTATAATTCACTTTAAAACATACTTTTATACAAAATATTATCTCTTGTCGATGTCACATGACTGCACAATTGGATATTGAAGCAAAGATTTAAACTCTAAAGAATTACACACAGTATGTGAAGTTTGCACAAAATTTTCAAATGTTTGTTTATATCAATTTAACAATAAACTCATTAATATAAATAATTACTCACAAATATATCATATTCATAAATAAAAACATTCAAATTTCTGAGTGATGAATTAATATAAAAATTACAACCAAATCTGCTATAAAATAATCACGTAATTGAATGTACTTTATAAGCAATATGCAAATTAAAACATGTATCATTTACCCTCTCCTTCTAATAATTGTATCATTCTGACAAGTTTTTACAAAATGTCACAAAGAAAAGAACTGAGAAAAACTCTCCATCCCAGACGAGGAAAAGCTTAGAAAGATTGCCACACTTTTTTAATTGCTCCAATAGATCTTTTCAAATTTCTTATTAAAATTTTTAGGACACAAATTTGCAATAAATAAATGATACAATCTAAAACAAGCTCTAAATGAGAGAAGGAAAAGCAGTGTTACACTCCTTTTGAAGTGGCAAGACGGAAATGTTTAAGCGTGCCATCATTGCTTAGTCTCTTGCCAAAAGCAATGCAATTGTAGCTAATGTTTTGAAATTTCTAAACATTAGCTATAATTGCAGCAAAACCTAAACTTACAAATGACTCCAAACAAAATAGACTAGAATGGACAAATGAGTTGGACAGAAAAATGCAGTGTTTTCATATTAAACATTTTTTTTCATCTGGATGGTAATAGGTATTATTAATTAAAGCACAATTTAAGAAAGCAACCAAAGGAATATTTTATCAGACAGGTGGGAGGCGATGAAATTGTGGTTTGGTCGGCATTTGCTTTTAATGACAAAGCAGATATCATCATAATTAATAATATTTTGATACATTCTGAAGCCATTCTATGCCATTTTAACATCTTATTCCATTTGGACCACTAATTGGAAAAAGTGAGTGGATGCTTAACAATGACAATGCTTGACAATGACTACAAGACAATGCTTGGGTGAACAAAATTGTGCCCCTCACACAGTAACATCCATATATACAGGAAAAAAACCCGAATCTTAGACATTTTGGGGACACCCAGAAATTTCTGGGTGTCCCCAAATCATGTTTGTTGGTGGTAGTACATTTGTTTCTCACCATATAAATTGTTTTAGAACTATGCTATAAATTGATATTCAAATTAAGAATGCAAATAAAATATTTTTTTCTTATTGAAAATGGTGTTTTCAAAATGCTGAAAAACATGGCAACTACACTATAATTGATAAAATAGAATTTCTATCAGACCGTTAAAATTGGTACCAATTTAATTAAGTGTAAAGTAACTATCAATATAACTTACCATTTATCAACAATACACACGGATTATCAAACTGTCATTGATGTAATGCCAATAGACATGTTGCAACCGACCAGACACAAGCCACATGCAAGCATAGTCAACAGTGTGGACATCTATAATAAGAGTCTAGCTGCCCGGTAAGCATTAGTTCTAAATTAAGCTGCTATGGCAAACAGCACCAATTGTGGCAACAACTGGATTTGTGTCAGTTTGTAGTTACAAGCGATATCATTCGTTTATCCTACCGTCAACATTGTTGAACTCTTTTATATGTTAAATAAAATGGAATGTAGTGAGTGTGGTTTAAACAGTATGATCTGTGATATACCATTAAATACTTGTTTTCTGTTCATAATAATTATAAATTATAAATGCTTAGTTTGAAATTATTAGTTAAAGTGAAAATAAAATTAGACATCTTGCTTAAAAATGAATTTTCATAAATTTTTCTATAAAAAATTATGTGAGGACCACCACTCCACCCTCCAAAAAATATATATATATATATTTGTAAACTAATAAAGTAAATAAACAAAAATTATTACAAATAAATCTTTTTTAATTATGTATTCGCGTGAACCTTAATTGTATCTTGGATAACAACCGAAGTTGTAAGAGGAAATTCACCTATTTTACCAATCTAGTGACCTCCCTTATTCAAATTTTAATATCAACTTGAATAAACCGTTTTATTCTAATTAATTTAACTATCTGAAATCTCACAACATGACAAAGAAAAGAGGAAGAAGCAACCAAATAATCACAGATTATAAAAGATATATGTAGAAATGGAGAACATTGCATCCCCTTGTTTTCGGCAATGTTTACATAGAGAACTCAGTCAAAGCAATCAATAAACAAACAATGACTAAGAGCAAAGATGAGTCATGTCAACACAGAGATGACTCTATGAAAGCTCGACGTCATCACCAAATAAGAAAACACTGCCTCAGCAACAATGATGACACTGCCAATGAATCATCACCCGATGATGAACTTTCTCATACTGGAAGGGTTTAAAAGGAGAGCTCCAGTTAGAGAAAGACAGTGAGATAGTCAGCAGTTGGAGACACAGCTCCAGCCAAAGAAAGGAAGAAACGGAAGAGACGCATTCACAGACATAGACAGAGAGCAAGAGAGAAAGACAGAGAACCAAAGAGTGAAACCAGATGAGCACCAGAGCAAGAGTGGTTCAAGAGAGGACGACTCAAAAACGAGCAAGCACAAGACGAAGTGCAGCAAACCTCCACAGTCTTGGCCATCACAAGAGAAGACATCTTGTTTACCTGGTATGTTGTGAGTCGCGTAAGTTCAAATACACCCCCCTCGTTTGGCACCCCCCTGGTTGTATAGATAAAAATAGGCAAATTTCCAAAATCAGGTTGTATAATTCTGTTCTAAACTTTCGTTTATATTAATAAATGTCCTTAAATTGATTATATCTGACTCTGCATTCTTCCTCCCTAGAGGCTCATTCCTGGACTTCAGAGTAACTCTTACCCTCGCGCCTTAATCATCTATTTCATCTCAAATGGCGGTGTGTCCGATAAAACACACCTGGTGGCAGGACTCTACCCAAAAAAAGTACGTAATAAATCTTTACAGCCCCCGAACCCCACAACTGGTGGCAGGGGTGGGATGCAGTGGTGATATTCAGCAGGTTCGCACAGGTTTGGCCGAACCCGTTGTTATTATTTTCAAAGTTTTCCGAACCTTGTTAAACACACGTAACATTTCTCAGTGGTTTTGTTTCTTTTAAAAAATATATTAAAATATACGTATTATACTCTACTAAACTAGAGCCTTATACCCCGTTCGCCTTGGTGTGACCTACCTGGACTGTTTCAATCTTGACTGAAACGAGGTTCAATCGCGATTGACTCGAGAGTTCTTGAAACTAGATCCACTCATAAGAGAGATCCCACAATCCTGCGCACGCGAGAAAATATAAGATGGCAGCGGAACACGTGTCGGTCTATCGACAGCGAAATAAAAAAGATATTGTATTTCAAGAGACGATGACATCTGTCTATTATTAGATATATCGCAAGAAAAAGTATTGTATTTATTTCTAACCAAAACTTCCATTTTGTTTGTCGGTGTTCGTGACTTACCGCATAGTTATGTCAGTTTTATCATCAGTAATATATATCTTTTTTTATTTATATGGGTATCTTAAG